CCATCCACTCATCTATCCATCTATCTATTTGTCTGGTTGTCCATCCATCCATCCATTGACATATCCATCCATCCATCCATCCCTCCATCTATCTGTCTATCTCTACAGAAAGTGGTGTTAGGGTTCAGGGTTTAGGGTTTATTAGGGACCATATTTCCTTACAGCTTACCATCATAAACCTTCTTAGTTTAAAAATTGAGTTTTTTCATCATGAGAATCATGTAATGTGGTTTATTAAGGCTTACAGTATAGTCAATTCCTGGTCAAATAGTTCTGTGGTCATTATGTAAATGGTGTGCTGTGTCTGTCTTCTCTGATTTATTCATTGTCGGATCACATAGAGAACTTCACACTCCCACTGACGCTTGTAGGGGATTCATCTAACTTGCCATTTTATTCATCTGACCCAAGCCTTTTGTTTGCTAAAAAAGCATTAAAAATTAAAGAAAAGCAAACTGCTTTCCAAAAAAATTGATTCAAGTTTACTTGCATAGCGCTTTTTGCATAAATTATAGATCCAAAGCAGCTTCACAAAAGATTCACAAAAGTTAAGGAGTTCTGTAAAGTTTTGGCAATATATAAACTGCAGGTAACTAGTATATAATGTCTTTCTAAAATAAATAATATGCACATGTTATAGATGTTGGTAACACTTTACAATAAGGTTCATTAGTTAATGCATTTACTAACATAAACTAATCATTAACAACACATGTACAGCATTTATTAATCATAATTGAACATTTACTAATGCATTATTAACATCCAAGTCCGTGCTTGTTAACATTAGTTAATGCACGATGAGTTAACATGAACTAACAATGAACAACTGTACTAACATTAACTAGCATGAACAAATACAGTAGTAAATGTATTGTTCATTATTTATTAATGTTAGTAAATGCATTAATTAACATTAACTAATGAACCTTATTGTAAAGTGTGACCTAGATGTTATTACACAATACATACACATGCACAATACATTACAGTTTTTCTCAGTGGCTTTGGTGCATTTCTCAAAACACTATTTACATCATAGTAGCAGTTTCTCATTCCTTCCAACTAATTGTAAATGCATTTAGACATGCAACAACTGCTTTAATACAACTCTCTGCTGTTTATAACATTATCATCTGCTTATGTCATGCTGAATAGTCATTCCATAAAAAACTAACAGTCCTCATTTCATTACTCCAGTCATTACATACAAAAATGTTGAACTATAGTCAAAATCTTTCAAACTAATTTTATAAAATATTTTAAATAGTTATTTTCCTGAAAATGTCTCCTAAATTAAACAATTTGATGAATGATTTACAGACCTGTGTTGTTGGTTCAGTTCCGATAGTATTGTCTACAGTTGTGCACAGCTCTACCCAATTGAAGTTTATGTTTGCTGTAAATAAAGCTGTGTTTATTCTTCTGCACAATGCTGTGAATAAATTAGAATTGCAAAGAGCAAATGCACATGTGAAACATACATATTCAGTGTCTTGTACTCCGATACCTCACTAAATGCAGTGATGTCTAACTTTACTGTAGTTTTCAAATGGCTGTGCAAATAGTATATAGTGCTGTCTTGAGCATTTTCAGGAGGTGTCACCAACATCTGACTTTTTTGCATTGGAAAAATATACAGAGTAAAGTGTCATAATGAAAACAGGACCAAGCCATTTGACTATCTTGTTCATAAACAATGCTGTCAGGGCTTTTCATCTTAATGAAACTGACACTTTCATTGACATCAATACTTGCTTTTGAAGAATGAGCTCTCTATTTTGAGCAAGTGAAGCGCTTTTGCAGGTTATCGGCTAGGTCTTGCAGTTTGTACTAATTGTTTTGAGAAATGCATGAACTATTGTGCAAATGCAAATATTGTTGTGAGAAATGCACTAAAGTGACTGAGGAAAAACTGTAATTTAATGTGAAAGAATGCATTTGAAGAGTTGAATTTAACGTCTTACAGTTATGTGATGGATTGCACATATATTTTTATTATCGTTTCTATCTGAGAGAGTGTGTCTGAGCCTCTGATATTATCAGGAAGGCTAGTACAGAGTTTAGGAGCCATAAATGAGATGGCTCGACCTCCTTTAGTGGAGTTTGTTCATTGAATTAATTTACAAACATGTACTGACAAGTAGTTAAGGCTGTTATTCACACATAAACTGGTGTGTCATGTTATAGTTAAAGTTGCACTCAAGTTTAAACTACTTCTTTAAAATGAGCTGAAGCAACACAGTTTTGAGTTCTCTGGCTGGACAACTTAATTGTTTTATGTTCAGTCCACTTAAATTTGTGAAAAGTTAACTTGATTCCTTCATGCTCTCTTGACACAAATCAGTTGTGTTGAGCCCAGCATTTTTGTACAGTGTAGTTCTTGCTGAACTCCTCATTAGCTCATAATAAAGTACATTTAGCTTACACATGATTACACCATTATTCATCTACTGTTACTGCTACCAGATCAGTAAATGCTTTATAAGTAGTATAGCTTATTGTTTGTTCATGTTGATAGGTGTGGTTAGAACTAATGTAAACAGATGGAACCAACTTTTACAAGATGATATCTGCACTGACGGAAAAAAAATCAAGATTATGCAGGATAATGTATTATTAATGATCCAAGCATGCATCTGCATATTAATATTGACCAATATGTGTACAAAGGTGAAATCCACCTCCCTTCCCTCATTAAGTCATGTCTCTCACAGTAAGTACTAGACGTTATACGTGTGGATTTTCTGCCTGACTGAGAATCGCTCAGACTCATTCTGGTGAAGTATGGCGCTCGTCTGTCTGTCGGTCCGGTGTTTTCTGTCCCGTGTACTCGAGGACACATAATGCCTGATAAATGAGAGTCGGGGTTTGAGCAGGTGAAGCCGGGAGACTCTCAATCAGATGAAATTGTGTGAACTGTGACTGTAGGATTAATGGGATGACGTGCAATCACAATGATTGTCACGCAGTAAACCAGTGAACCTCACACCATCACAATGTGAACGTTTTAACCATGTGCATGCATTAAGAGAAAACACATCAGAAAACCTGCTGTATTATATTTGATATGCAATAAATCTGTTGCACACAATCTGCATGCTTTACAACGTCTCACAGGAACTATAAAAACTGCGCAGAGTTATTCATTTAAGCATTAGCAAATATGTAATTCATCATGCATTATTGTATTCCAGCTTCTAAGTCCCCATCGGAGAAAGTTTTTAATATTTGTGGTCGCACACTTGAGCAGAGACACAAAAATAACAAAAATAGGTAACACTATAGTTTAGGTTATAATTAACTACCATTACCTGCCTGTTTTTAAGATATTGTTTATGAAGATATGATTAGTAGTTATTAAGTATGGTCCTATTCTGGATTCCTAATGCTACACAAAATCTAAACCCAACTGCTCCCTTATTTACTATTAATAAACAGCTAACTAGTAGTTCATTAAGCTAGCAGTGTTAGTTAGTAGTTTGTTAATACCTTTAATTGTGATCTAAATTAAAGTATCATGCAAAAACTCTACAAATATTTTGTCTAAAGGTACAATAAATGATTTCATTTCCAACATACTACTGTTCAATAAAGTATGTTGGTTTGGACAGGTTTAAAGCAGAGCTTAAGTGCATTAAAGGTTTACAAGTGCTTGAAATGAAGCATGAGTTCGGTTGGTCAAAGTGAATTAGTTCAGCTAATGCATAAAAGAAACGACAATCAATAACACTTTTGCCGGACTGCAGATCAGTTCCCATGAGACACTTTGTTTTAGTGCTGTTTAAAGGTGCATTGGTTCAAAGTTGCATTGTTCTCTGTTATCTGCATGGTCTCCAGAAAGGGTTTCATGTGATCATTTATTACTCCATAAAATACCCCAAGAATCAGAATGTTCTTCATTGACCATATTTGGAAGGGTCTTGAATATAACCCCCAGTGGTCTGAGGTGATTTTATATATTTTGATTTTGATATATATATATATTTTTTTTTTTTTCCATATGTTTGAGAAATAACAACACTAATAGCCCACTCATAATAACCTTTATATTATATCTACAGAATCGTGAGAAAATCTTGATTTTAAGCAAAACAATCGCAATTCTCATTTTAGCCAGAATTGTGCAGCTCTACTATATACATTTCCGGAGACCACTAAATATGTCCCAGGAGGTATGTTTTTTGCAGTATTTGTTTTAGTGAATCCACAAGAGCTCGTTCTGTATGATTTTTGAGATCTCAAATTTCTTTAGAGCAGGGGTCACCAATCTCAATCCTGGAGGGCCGGTGTCCCTGCAGGGTTTACACCAACTTGCCTAAACACACCTGCCTGGGTGTTTCAAGTACACCTAGTGAGACCTTAATTAGCTGGTTCAGGTGTGTTTGATTGGGGTTGAAAATAAAAACTGCAGGACAACGAGTTTGGTGATCCCTGCTCTAGAGCCAGTTGCACCTGCTGTTCTCATGTAAATCCACCAGAGGCCGCTGTTGACTGATTGTTTGACTGACTGAATGACTGACTGACCAATCAACTGACCCACCCTCCTTCTTCTCTAAACCCTACCAACAATTTTCAAAAGCAATCCAATCTGATTTTTACCAGATTTTACAGCATCCTCACTCTGTTTACTTGTTTATTTAATTTTTTGGATTCTGCTTTCGTCTTACCTGCTTTCTTTCACCGGACTCGAACCTCGTCATGGTGGTCCACTCCTCTCTGCGTCTCAAGTCTGACTAATTATGAACATAATTCATTTACTCAGTTTACTCAGTTTTTCAGGTAAAGTCAATTAATCGCTTAAAAAGCAAAGAGTTTACTCCTCTTCTTAAAGTCAAGTCAACTAAATGCTTTTTACAGTGTAATTGTAAACCTAAACACAACATAAACTGTAACTGCATCCACTAAATCTGAAGACCAACATGAATGTTAATCCAATTTCATGGTGAAATCACACTCACCCGCCAACTGTACTGTTGTAAAATGTGTTTGTGTTTCAGTAACAAGAAGCTGCGGACGCCTCCAAACTACTTCATCATGAATCTGGCAGTGAGTGACTTCCTCATGGCCATCACTCAGTCACCCATCTTCTTCATCAACTGCATGTACAAGGAGTGGGTGTTCGGGGAAATGGGTAACTGATTTCCCATTCTTCCCATCCAAACACTTACTCGCTAGCTGCCTGCATCCATATCACACACACAATTATTTCATGTGGAACGACTAATACTAGTTAAAGCAACACAGCATCCAAATAATCAGCTATGTCCTCATAATTTAGCCCCTTCCTGAGTGTCATACCCGTGTCTTTATACAGATTTGTGTCACGATATGTCACAAAAAGCACACACACTGTCAAACAACATTACCTTTCCCCTGTTTTCCAGTACAAAAACCTGAACATTGTTCATGAAAGACATCAAACTAGCAATATAACAGCTCTTATTTTATTAAAACCAAGTTTAGCTGATGAGAAAAGTCTCCAAATTCTGACCTTACTTGTTTCAAGCCTCAAAATGCACCTCAGGTCTGTTTTAGGCAAGGCAAGGCAAGTTTATTTATATAGCACATTTCATACACAGTGGCAATTCAAAGTGCTTTACAAACAGGGATAAAAAAGACAAGTTTAGGAACATAAAATGCAGACAAAAATGATTAAAAACAAATTAAAATGAGTTAAAATAGGTTATAAAAGAATGAAAAAGAAAACGAAAAACATAATAGTGCAATCTGTCGGACGTAGTGTATAGACGCATTAAGATTATTTTGATAATTCACATCCAAAATAAAAGTTTGTTTTGACATAATATATGTGTGTGTATTTTATATCTACGCTACCTGACAAAAGTCTTGTCGTCGATGCCAGTTTTAAGAGCAACAAATAATAACGTGACTTCTAGTTGATCATTTGGAAAAGGTGGATTTTTCTGATGGATCATCTGTTGAGCTGGAATCATAACAGATACTGCAGAAGACGTACTGGAACCAGCATGAACCAAGATTCTCACAGAAATCAGTCAAGTGCGAGATTCCATTCAGTGCGAGAGATCTGCAACATCAACAGCCTGAGGTATCAAGACATCTGTGCTGCCCATTACATTACAAACCACAGGAGAGGGACAATTCTCCAGCAGGATAGCGCTCCTGCTCATTCTTCAGCCTCCACATCAAAGCTCCTGAAAGCAAAGAGTGCTCCAGGATTGGCCTGCCCAGTCACCAGAGATGAACATTATTGAGCATGTCTAGGGTAAGATGAAGGAGGAGGCGTTAAAGATGAACACAAAGACTCTTGATGAACTCTGGGATCCTGCTGAAGGCTTTCTTCTTCATTCCAGATGACTTTATTAATCAGTGATTTGAGTCATTGAGTCATTGTTCACGTGAACACAGCTACTGCGCTCATGCATCCAGGTTAATCATGAACAACACAGTGCGCATGCGCTAGTTGCACTATCGTGGACTGATTATGTTTCAATCAAGGTTTATATGCATCAAATACATAACATCTGTGCCAAACATCTCAACTGACGAACATATTAACAATAATACAACCCTATAGCCCAATTAAATTGGCATGTTACAGCCCTAATGAGTATGATTATGTGAAACTCCATTTAGATACATATTGCAATGATTTCGGGTACTTACTTAGCGATGCACGTACACATATATGCACAATCCTTAAATGCTCTGTTGATTTGGACTCTGTGATACCTGTTTTATAACTTTAAACTATCAACAACCACCACTGAGCTGTATTCTAGCGTTCTTTCTATCGGATTTTGGCATAGTCCATTTCACGTGAGATGGCGGGGGGTGAGTGGAAGAAACCAAGTCACGAGGGAAAAATTTTCTATAGAAATAATTTATGATTTCTGATGTGGCCCGGTACCAATTGTTCCACGGACCGGTACCGGTCCGCGTCCCGGTGGTTGGAGACCACTGTGGTAGTGTATTTGTTATGAACAGTTAAAGTCAGAATTAGCCCTCTTGAATTGATACAACCCCTATATATTTTATTTCTCAATTTATGTTTAACAGAAATATTTGTCAACGCATTTCTAATCATAATAGTTTTAATAACTCATCTGTAGCTGATTTATTTTCTCTTTGCCATGATGACAGCACATAATATTAGACTAGATATTCTTCAAGACACTAGTATTCAGCTTAAAGTGACATTTAAAGGCTTCACTAGGGTAATTAGGGTAAAATTAGGGTTATTAGGCAAGTCATTGTATAACAGTGGTTTGTTCTGGAGACAATCCAAAACTAATATTGCTTAAGGGAGTTAATAATATTGACCTTAAAATGGGTTTAAAATAATTAAAAACTGCTTTTATTCTAGCCGAAATAAAAAAAATCAGACTTTCTCCAGAAGAACAAATATTAAAGGAAATACTGTGAATGATTCCTTGCTCTGTTAAACATCATTTAGGAAGTATTTGAAAAAGAAATTGGCAGGGGGGCCAATAATTCTTCAACTGTATGTATATATGCGCTTTTTCATGCAGGCTGTAAGATGTACGCCTTCTGCGGAGCTCTGTTTGGGATCACATCCATGATCAACCTTCTGGCCATTTCTATCGACCGCTACATCGTGATCACCAAACCACTGCAGGCCATCCGCTGGACATCGGGACGGCGAACACTCATTATTATCCTCGTGGTCTGGATCTACTCGCTGGCCTGGAGTCTGGCGCCACTTATAGGATGGAGTGAGTAATTGTTCGTAATGGAGCCTGTTCATAACTTTAATTAAGGAGAAAATTTTTAAATATCAGCCATGTCAGTCCTAAATTTGTTTTTAGTTGATAGGAAGTAAAATGTTATGTGTAGTGAAGTAGACTCCTGAATAGCAGAGATCAATTCATTCATTCATTTTCTTGTCAGCTTAGTCCTTTTATTAATCCGGGGTCGCCACAGCGGAATGAACCGCCAACTTATCCAGCAAGTTTTTATGCAGCATATGCCCTTCCAGCTGCAATCCATCTCTGGGAAACATCCACACATTCACACACACACACTCATACACTACAGACAATTTAGCCTACCCAATTCACCTGTACCGCATGTGTTTGGACTGTGGGGGAAACCGGAGCACCCGGAGGAAACCCACGCGAAGGCAGGGAGAACATGCAAACTCCACACAGAAACACCAACCACAGAGGTTCGAACCAGCGACCTAGCGACCTTCTTGCTGTGAGGTGACAGCACTACCTACTGCGCCACTGCCTCGCCCATTAGCTGAGATCAAACCACACACTATCATAAAATAGTGTTAGTGGGTGGAAAAAATCTCGGAAAGAAAAGACTTTAAAAACACTTGAACACAATGACAAATGAGAAAATATTTTTTAAATATGTATTAACTAAAGGTATTTGTTATGCAAAAACCGTTTTAGCCATTTTATATATTTTTAAAATATTATTATTTTTAAATATTTAAAGAGTTTAAACATATATTTGGCTAATTATTTTCTAATAAAACACATTTAATTTGTAACACTGGAGTAAAATCTTAATTTATAGTCCACAAGTTTAAAAACTGTTATGATCACCAGCAATCTAGCAGTAGCAGATCGCTGGAGAACTACAAATCTGCCACTTTACCGAACTACAAATCCCATCATACCTGGCACTCACACACCAGTTCCTGATTCTCCTTGATTACACACACACACACACACACACAGCTGATAACTCATCATGGACTGATATCCTGGACTATTTATACACCACACTTACACACACAGTGTGCTGAGTCTTGTTTTATGTTTTCATTTGTCTAGTCTTTCAGTGCCTATTCGCTATTTGTACCGATCACTTTGCCCGTGACCTCGACTACTCTTCTGGACTGTCTTTTAAATTACCGTTTGCTCCTGCTTGACCCCTTAATTCAATCATATTGACCTTATTAAATATTGAGCCAGATCACACTCCAGGCCAATGGTTAGGAGGTCATGATAGACAGAGTGGGCAAATTTGGCCAGGATGCCAGGGTTAAACCCCTACTCTTTTTCCAAGGACATCTTGGGATGTTTTAATGAGTCAGAACCTCGGTTTAACATCTTATTCGAAAGATTGTGCTCACTGGGCAGTATAGAGTCCCCATCACTATACTGGGGCATTAGGACCCACACAGACTGCAGGATGATCGCCCCCTGCCCCTTCCAGCAGCAACCTCGCTTTCCCATGTGGTCTCCCATCCAGGTACTGACCAGGCACAGCCCTACTTAGTTTCAGTGTGTGACCATGTGAGAGTTGCAGAGAGCTATCTGCCGACAAGTCCAGCTCCCTAACCATTAAAACACAACTGCCCCATGTAAGTGATAATAGAAAGTGTGCAGTTAAGAGGAGCATGAAGATATAGAAATGCTGGTCTAATAAGAGAACTGAGTTTGTTTGTTGATCAGGCTGCTTTTGTTTCTCCTGGACAGGTTCCTACATCCCAGAGGGCCTCATGACCTCCTGCACATGGGACTATGTGACGTCCACTCCTGCCAACAAGAGCTACACCTTGATGCTCTGCTGTTTCGTGTTCTTCATTCCTCTAGGGATCATCTCGTACTGCTACTTCTTCATGTTCCTCGCCATTCGGAGCGCAAGCAGGTACACCGGGTTGACATGCACATTCTCTTGGGGCTGGTTGCATCATGATGACAGTACATAATATTTCACTCAATGTTTTTCAAGACACTGGTATTCAGCTTAAAGTGCAATGTTAACAATTAGGGTAAAGTTAGGGTAATTAGGCAAGTGACTGTATAACAGTGGTTTGTTCTGGAGACAATCCAAAACTAATATTGCTTAAGGGGCTAATAATATTGACCTTAAAATGGGTTTAAAACATTTAAAATCTGCTTTTATTCTAGCCGAAATAAAACAAATAAGACTTTCTCCAGAAGAAAAAATAATATAGGAAATACTGTGAAAAATTCCTGAATCTGTTCAACATCATTTGGGAAATATTTGAAAGAGGAAAAAAACTAATAATTCACTGGAGGGCGAATAATTCTGCCTTTAACTCTATTGTGAATGCATAATGCAATAAGTTTACTGCATTTTTGTTAATAATTTATATTAATTAAAAAATTTTCACTACTAAATGTCTTTATACATCATAATAAATGTCATAGAAAACAAAGTTAGGCAACTTTTTATTATAGTAGTGAACTTGGAATACATGAGGTTATGGTGAACTGCAAATGGATAAGATAATGCTGTAACTCATTCATTCATTCATTCATTTTCTTTTCGGCTTAGTCCCATTATTAATCTAGGGCACAGGTGTCAAACTCAGTTCCAAAAGGGCCGCAGCTCTGCACAGTTTAGTTCCAACCCTGATTAAACACACCTGATCAAACTAATTGAGTCCTTCAGGCTTGTTTGAAACCTACAGGTAAGTGTGTTGGAGCAGGGTTGGAACTAAACTGTGCAGGGCTTCGGCCCTCCAGGGATTGAGTTTGACACTACTGATCTAGGGTCACTACAGCGGAACAAACCGCCAACTTATCCAGCATTCAACAAGTCCTTTTAGCTACAACCCATCACTGGGAAACAGTACACACTCATTTGCAAACACACACACTACGGTCAATTTTAGGCCAATTCCTCTATAGCGCATTATAGAGGTGCAGTGTTTATAGTGCAGTGTTTAGACTGTTGGGGAAACCCACACCAACACTGGAGGAACATACAAACTCCACACCGAAATGCCAACTGACCTAGCCAGGGCTCGAACCGGCGACCTTCTTGCTGTGAGGCAATCGTGCTACCCACTGTGCCATCCTGTCGCCTCATAACCCACATAGCAAAATTTCTCTGGCCCAGCTCTGGCCCACACAATCAGGTTTTGCTTGGCCCACATGCCGCAGTGAATTACGGTACATGACTGGACCAAATCTGGCTTCCAGACAAGGACCAAACACGGACCATATCTGGGCCAAGTCTCAGCCAAGTTAATAACTCATAACTGGGCCTGAACTGGGCCAGATAGGTTGGTGTGTCACGATTGCAATGAAATTGATAAGCCCATGGAGTGTTGCGCTTTAGGCACACTATGGACACGCTTTTTCTTAAAGTGACCTGATTGGTAGAATTTTTTTTCTTTACTCAAAAATGATTTTAGTGTATTTTAAATGTGGACCAAGACTGGCCAAACTCACATGGCCCACTTATCACATTTTTAAATCTGGGCCAAATACTACGTTTTTCATCTGGCCCAAATCTTGTGTGCCGCCTTAAATACGGTGCCACCTCTGCCAAACCCGGGCCATGTTTGGCCCACATGCTGTATGCCAGTGCCGGATGAATGCCTGCTGTGCCAGCTTCATGCCAAATCTGGGCCAGAATTCTTTGCTACTAGGGAAGTTATTATGGTATAAGTTATTATTATATTATTATAAATTAATGTTGTAAGTTATTATTAATCTTAAATGAGCTTTAACATGTTAGTCTGGAGCCCAAAAAAACACCACACACACCCCAAAAAATTATGTTGATGCTTGTTCAAATTAAATATTTAAGATGAGCTGATGTACAGCACAATTCTTGGGATATTTTACGTGCAACTTTCATGTTCAATCTGCTTAAATGTGTTATGGTAACTTAATGGATTTGTGCTGGGACAACATTAATGAACTGTTTGGAAACACAACAGGAAACAGTCAGGAACTTCTGTTATTGTTCTCATGTGTGTTCAGGGATGTGGAGAAGCTGGGTAGCCATGTGAGGAAGACCACCCTCATCCAACAGCAGTCCATAAAGACGGAGTGGAAGCTGGCCAAGATTGCGTTTGTGGTCATCATTGTGTTTGTGCTGTCCTGGTCTCCGTACGCCTGCGTCACACTCATCGCCTGGGCTGGGTAACTAGCATATTCAGTCATTCATTTTCCTTCAGCTTAGTCCCTTATTTATCTACTTATTTAGGCTACTATATCCATACAAACTTCTATATTTGTCAGTTTGGCTCTAAAAGAGTGGCCAGTTTCAAGTACAGAGGGGAAAATAGGGATTGAACACATGACTTTTTCCCCTGGGAATAGCATCTCTAAAGGAGCTCTTGACATGGAGTTGAACCATGTTTTAGTAAAAACACAAACAATGCAAACATAAAAATTAAACAAAGCGAAAAATAGGTTGTGTAATAAGAATGAAATAACAGAAGGAGAAAGTGCTGATGTAACCCCGCCGGTCTTACGCCACCCAACCCGTTCCGAGCTGGGATCGAACTGGCAAACTTCCGCATGGGAGTCAGTTGCTCTAACAAGGAGGCTAAAGACCATGGCCTCTAAGTCTGTCGCCAGAGCACCTTTAGAGGTCAGAGGAGTGAGGTTTACCTGCACAGCACTGACTAGCTGGCCTCTGTTACACTCACCCCCCAAACCTCACTCCCATCTGGGTCACGGCACCAATGTAACCCCACCGGTTCTACGCAACCCAACCCGCTCCGAGCTGGTTTCGAACCGGCGACCTTCCGCATGGGAGTTGGTTGCTCTAACAAGGAGGCTAAAGACCATGACCTCTAGCATCTGTCGCCAGAGCACCTTTAGAGGTCAGAGGAGTGAGGTTTACCTGCACAGCACTCACTAGCTTACACTGAGCTACTGAAATGTGTTTAACACTTAAGGCTTTTTTTGGGGATGGCAGCTTAAAGACGGAAGCCACATGCATTGCTCAGGTGTGAGTTTCTCATAGACTTCAACAGAGTGTCTAAATCTTGATGCTTCTGTGTGTCTCGAACGATCAAATCTGAGCTTTATTCTGTATTCTCAATTGGATTCGGGTCAGGTGATTGGCTTGGCCATTCTACAGCTTGATTTTCTTTCTCTGAAAGCATCTGAGAGTCTCCTCGGCTGTGTTTTGGATCAGTGTCTTGCTGAAATGGTTTCATCCTCCTGCTAATGTAGATGTTGGACTGAAGCAGCTGATCTTCATTTACACTGAGGAAGGGCTGAGGCTTGTTGAAGAACTACTGAGAGATTTCAGCTGCTGTCTGGGCTTTCCATGACGAACTACACCTTCCTTTCTTCATGTCTTCAACACTTTTCCCTGTTTCATTTCATTTTATTACATAGAAATTCATTTGTAAACTAGTTAGCTTAGTTTTCTTTGCATATATAGATTTCTTTGCTTGTTCCCAACATCCGAAAATTCCAAGTCAGCAGCACCTTTCGGAATATATTTTCAGAAAAAAATGTTGACGTGTTCATTACTTATTTCCCCCACTGTAGATCATCTAATCTCTCGGTGTGGCTTTCTGATGGTCTATTTAAAGAGAGTCAAACCACGCAGAAGATCTGAGAGACTTTCACAGAATTCCAGAGTAAAAAAGACGGCCTTTTATAGAAGTGCTGGCCAAAGTAAAACACACAGTTTCTCCGCTGAATTAAAGGCTGATGGGGTTCACTGAAGTAATACAGACCACATAGAGCGAACAGACACCTCTGCCTTCGAGTGCAGTCTCCTGGAGGATGCGGATAATCAGGCATGGGGCTTTTTTTTCCGCTCATGTTAACAACACCTCTCGGTCACTTCCATGTCATGTAAACAGCCTCTGCAGGGGTCATCGTCTGCTACTGACCACTCACAAACACTCTTCAGCTTTCTCCAGTTGTCCATCCATCTACGCTTCAACAAGTGATTCTCTGGCTTAGTGTTTTTGGTTTGGTTTTCCAGTACAAATGCACGATAAAAACTATTTTAGACTCATTTACATTTGCAGATATTGGTAACACTTTAGTTAAGGCCACAAGTCACAGTATTAACAAACTATTAATTAACACTGCTAGCTTAATAAACTACTAATTAGCTGTTTATTAGTCAACCCAGGATCATTCTGAAAACGTTGTCTCATGGACGTTTCTGGAGATAGTGAAATACTTCCTGGGAGGAATGTATTTTTGCGGTTTTTGTTTTCACGAATCCGCAAGAGGCCACTGTGTGTGCTTTTTCGTATCTCAAATGTCTCTCGGGAGTGTCATTCGCACCCCCGCTGTTCTCGCATACACTCACCAGAGGCCGCTGTTGACCGACTGAATGACGACCAATCGACTGACCCACCCTCCTCCTTCCCTAAGCCCAAACTATTAAAACCCAACCGACAGTGTTTTCAAAAGCAATCCAGAGAAAGTAAAGTCCTCGCCCGATTTTTACCACGTTTTCAGATTTTACCACATTCTCACCCTGTTATTCACTTGTTTGATTCATTTTTTAGCTTTTGTTTTTGTCTTACCTGCTTTCTGGAATCATTCTTCACTGAACTCGAACCTTGTTGGTCAACTCCACCCTGTGTCTCAAGTCCACCGACATACATGTCGAGCTACTGGACCAAACTGGTAACAGTGGAAAAGCCATCCATAAGGAGGTAAGCGGTCAGCTGGTAAGCGCGAAAAACAACAACGTCATACCGGCCCACAGTGTTAGTTTTAAAGACGCAGCCATACATAGCTCTGGCTACATAACTCACGTTCTCCAGAAAGGTATATAGGGGTACGTTTTCAGAATGAGCCTATGTTGAAAAAACGTGATGCATTGTGTGGTTTTGTGTGCTCCACATGTGATATATTTGATTTAGACATGATTTTACACATGACTGGACATGCAAAGCTTGTGTGCATTTTTTCTCTCATGTTTTTTTGCCACATTTGTCTGCTATAGTATAATTCAAAAACACTATATATATTTTTTTTTTTTCACATGGAAATACTTTAAACAAAAAATATGTCAGTTTTTTTTCTGCATTACAACAAAATATAGATGACATCCCCATTGCTAATAACAAATAACGCATGAAGGAAACTCCCACATAGATGTCTCCTGGAGATGAAGACGCACTGTGATGTTTGTTGTTTCAGATACAGCCACGTTCTTTCTCCATATTCCAAGGCAGTTCCTGCGGTGATTGCCAAGGCATCAGCCATATACAATCCCTTCATCTACGCCATCATACGCTCCAAATACAGGTGCGTTCAGTTGCCTTATCAACCTCATACAGTTTAACCATATACATTCTAATTATAATAAACAATTTTTTTCAACAATAGTTTTACTAACTGATTTCTGATAACTAATTTCTTCTATCTTTGTCATGATGACAGCACATAATATTAGACTAGATATACACTAGTGTTCAGCTTAAAGTGACATGTAAAGGCTTCACTAGGGTAATTAGGGTAAAGTTAGGGTAATAAGGCAAGTCATTGTATAACAGTGGTTTGTTCTGGAGACGATCCAAAACTAATATTTAAGTCCACTTAAAATCAAAATGTACAATGTTTATTTTGCTAGGTCACATTGTTATTCTCTAATGTGAATAATTAATTCATTGTGGAAGTTAAACCACTGAAAAAAATGTTTTGGTAACCTTCAGTGGAAATTTTACTATTTGCCTCCACATTTGGAGTGGCGGTTGAAGTCAACCTGGAAATTTCCATAGCAACTGCATATTAATACCCTCTCTTAATGTTAGTTTGCTATAAGAGAATGATGCACAAGAAGAAAGCTCCGCCCCCTACTCAACATTCTTTTTCAGTTGGAAGTACATCAATACTCAAATAAAGCCCCGCCCCTACTCAATATTCAGTTTAGGCTAAAAGTACATCAACATACTGAAATAAAGCCCCGCCCCCTACCCAATATTCAGTTTCAGTTGGAAGCACATAAACATACTGGAATAAAGGCCCGCCCCCAACTCAATATACAGTTTCACTTGGAAGTACATCAACATACTGAAATAAAGCCCCGCCCCCTACTGAATATTCAATTTCACTTGGAAGTACATCAACATACTGAAATAAAGCCCCGCCCCCTGCTGAATATTCAATTTCACTTGGAGGTACATCAACATACTGAAATAAAGCTCCGCCCCTACTGAATATTCAATTTCAGATTTAAGTACATCAACATACTGAAATAAAGCCCCGCCCCCTACTCAATATTCAGTACCAGATGGAAGAACATCAACATACTGAAATAAAACCCCGTCTCTACGTAATATTTCATTTCAGTTGGATTTACATCAGCATACTGAAATAAAGCCCCACCCCCTACTCAATATTCAGTTTTAGTTAGAAGTACATCAACATACTGAAATAAAGCCCTGCCCTCTACTCAATATTGGGTTTCAGTTGGAAGTACATTAACATACTGAAACAAAGCCCCGCCCCCTGCTGAATATTCAATTTCACTTGGAAGTACATCAACGTACTGAAATAAAGCCCTGCCCTCTACTCAATATTGGGTTTCAGTTGGAAGTACATTAACATACTGAAACAAAGCCCCGCCCCCTGCTGAATATTCAATTTCACTTGGAAGTACATCAACGTACTGAAATAAAGCCCCGCCCCTACTCAATATTCCATTTCAGATGGAAGTACATCAACATACTGAAATAAAGCCCCACCCCCTACTCAATATTCAGTACCAGTTGGAAGAACATCAACATACTGAAATAAAGCCCCACCCTCTACTCAATATTGGGTTTCAGTTGAAAGTACATTAACATACTGAAATAAAGCCCCGCCCCTACTCAATATTCCATTTCAGATGGAAATACATCAACATACCGAAATAAAGCCCCACCCCCTACTCAATATATAGTAGCAGATGGAAGTACATCAACATACTGAAATAAAGCCCCGCCCCTACTCAATATTCCATTTCAGTTGAAGTACATCAACACACTGAAATACAAGTCCCGGCAACCTCCGATTCAGACAGGCTTTAATTCTTAGGGGGCTAATATTATGAACCTTAATACTACACTTTTTTTTAGAATTAAATACTGATTGTTTTTCCAGACAAAATAAAAGAAATAAGACTCTCTCCTGTAGTAAAATGCTATAGAACATATAGCTCTGTTAAACATGACTTAGGAAATATTTATACAAGAGTATAACACTTTCCTAGTAATGTTGGCTCCCACTGTAATACGACATGTGTGTTTGTAACTGTGATCTGCAGAGACACGCTGGCCGAGAAGGTACCATGTCTGCATTTCCTAGCGCAGTCATCGCGTAAAGATGTCTCAGTGTCCAACAGCGAGTCTTCCTTCAGGGAGCACATGCTGAGCCGACAGTCCTCGGGGTCAAAGGCCAAGTTCCAGCGCATCTCCTCCATGTCCACAGCAGATACGGTCAGTGCTTCCCCAACAGGAGGGCAAATAAAGTCTTTAAGACGACTAATGTAGAGTATCATGAACTCTGGGTTACACTTTTTTATTACACACTATGAATCATTTATTAAGCATTAGAAAATAGTTATTTGTTGAGCATTAACTTCTTTAGTAAACAGTTTATTAATACAAATTCAATAGTCAAAGTGTGGAGCTCATGCTGAGTGAAATGCAGAACTCTCCAAAACTCCTCCAGAGTGATCTGAGAATCAAATAGTGTCAGCAAAAGTAGGGTGTCCTAATGTTTTTCCCGTGCCTGAATGTGTTGCATGTGCTCTAGGTCTGGAGTGATGTAGAAATAGACCCTGTGGACCAAAAGAGCCAGACGATCAGAAACTCACAGTCAGCCAGTCTGCTGAGAGACGACAAATGGAAAGCGCAAACCAAACAGGACTATCAGAACGACAGGGAGAGCAGTGAAGAGAAGGTAAGGTGAGGGACTGCACTAAACACACATTATTAAGGTCATTATCAGACACTGATGCTCTTTGAATCCATCTGATTAAGGCTCAGTCTCAATTATGTGTTTGTGAAGTCTGCACCTTCCCCTGAGCCTGATAGTGTGACTGGGTAGGGAAGGAAACTATCCCTATTACACGTAATCATGTCATCATTAGTGCACATTGTGAGTGCAGCAGGGCAACGCACTAAATGAGTGTTGACATGCTTGTAAATGCATTAAGTTACATTAACCCTTGTGTATTGTTCAAGTTGACTCTCCTTTCTTTGTGTTGGAGGCTGTTTTTGACCCATTGACTCTCATTATAACAACATTTTTTAATTGCACATAAATTTTCTAATAGTTTTCATTGGGGAGTTCACACTTAGCAGATAATCAATAAAGCGTATTTGGCATGCTGTCCCGGGAGAGAGTCCTGAGCTTGTAATATCCTCGAGCCCAGGGCTCCCTCCCGTTAGATCTGCGAGAGGGGAGTTTGAGCTCAGGTAGGTTGGGAGAACTCCCCTGCTTGTCGCCGTGTGAGAAGTGTAAACTGGGGTTGTCTTAGTTGATAATTTGGTTTCGTCGATTGGCTATGGCTTATGTTTTTGGACGGTGGGAGGAAACCGGGGAACCCGGGGGAAACCCACACGAACACGGGGAGAACATGTAAACTCCACACAGAAACACCGACTAGGAGATTGGACCAGCAGTGTTCTAGCTGTGAGGCAACAGTGCTAGCCACTGGGCCTCCGTGTCGCCCTATCGGGGAAAAAAAAAGGGGGGGGGGGCTTCAAGATGAAGATAATGCTTCCGTAATCATCTAATAGAGCAGATTACGGAGCTAATGAGGAGCCAGCCGTGTTAAGGATCCGTTAAGCACGTGATCCTCTCGAAATTAGTTTATGCATAAACCACTCGTTGTGAATTGCATGATAATCAATCTGTGCTCTGTCGAATTTTGATGTTGAAAATTTAACTCAGCAGTTTAACAAAGTGACTTTTACTGACATTTTATTAGTGAAAAAATTATATTCAGTTGAGAGTACATCAAGATATTGAAATAAAGCCCCGCCCCATACTCAATATTCAGTTTTAGTTGGAAGAACATCAGCATACTGAAATAAAGTCCCGCCCCCTACTCAATATTCCTTTCAATTGGAAGTATATCGACGTACTGAAATAAAGCCCCACCCCCTATTCAATGTTCTGTTAACTAACATACTGAAATAAACCATCGCCCCATACTCAATATTCAATTTTAGTTAAAAGTACATCAACACACTGAAATAAAGCCCCGCCCCTACTCAATATTCAGTTTCAGTTGGAAGTACATTAACATACTGAAAGCCCCGCCTCATTCTCAATATTCAATTTCAGTTGGAAGTACATCATCACACTGATATGAAACCCCGCCCCCTATTCAATATTCTCTTTCAGTTGGAAGTACATCAACATACTGAAATAAAGCCCCACCCTCTATTAAATATTCTGTTTATCAACATACGGAAATAAAGCCCCGCCCCATACTCAATATTCTGTTTCAGTTGGAAGTACATCAACATACTGAAATAATACCCCGCCCCCTATTCAATATTCTGTTTATCAACATACTAAAATGAAGCTCCACCCCCTACTCATTATTCTGTTTCAGTTGGCAGTACATCAACACACTGAAATAAAAGTCTCATCAGTTTCGGTTCATCTGGAGTTGAACTGAATGAAAGCCAGATTGATGTCTATGTTTTGATGAAGTGATTGATTGAAGTGTTTTGTTTTCTACAGTCTGCAATCACGGACAGTGGCGGCTCCTTGAGCGGCGGAGGCCTTGACTTGGTGTCCGAATCCATCAACATGGCCACTGTCCCTCTCCTCATGGCCAAGAACACTGGAGAGGAGGACCAGGAGGAGGAAGAGGACGAGACTCTGACGGGACAGCAGGACAGCAGGTCTCTGAGCCCCATCAGCAACGACCTGCCTTTTTACCAGGACACAGAGGAGCCACACATCACCCTCAGCCCCACATCAGCGGAGCAGCAAAGCACGGAGACCAGAGAAAACAATCTGATCCTGGAGCTCAAGAGTCTGAACTGCTCCAGCGAACTCCTGGAGTCTGTGGAGAAGTTTCTCTCCTGAGACCCCGAGTTTGTCTCTATCTTCTCCTCCTTCTGCTTCTTCACGTGTGTGTTTTACTGAAGACACGTCACAGTCTTCCACAAAGTTTCACAGCAGCATTATAGCTGACAAAGCAATTCATTTTGTGCAGGTATTCAGCTATTAACAATAGAGAGGATCAGGGCTAAGGGGTGGTTCTAGGATTTCATCCTGAGGCCCTGATCACACCGAATGCGCTTTTCCATTAAGAGGCGCATCTTTTCAATTGATCTGCCTCCCGTTTTTGACATCACGTTTTTTCATTCTTCAATGAAATTAAAGCAGAGGCGGGGTTTCCATTGGGGTGACAGCAGTGTTTGTGTTGTCAAGATGATTATTATAGATGGAGGAGAAACTAGTGGTCGCTGTTTCGAGATATCCATAGCTGTATGACTTCACAAATCAGGAATATCACAATATTATTAAAGAGCCCCTATTATACATTTAAAAGGGTCATATTTTGGTTTTAAAGGTCTCCAGCAACAGGCTGAACTGCGTGCGAGGTTAAAAAACACATTCGTTGTCTTATAATATGCATTTGTTTTTACCTAATCATCCCAGCGACTCCCTTATGATTCGTTCTCAATGCCCTCCTTAGCACGAAGCTAATCTGCACTGATTGGGCCAATGACAGCCTGTTGCTATTGGTCGACTGCGTTCAGTGTGAGGCAGAGTGAAATGGCCAACAGTGTTGAAGTAGTCCGAGTGCAGAGTGTTTGTTTGAGCATACCTGCCAACACTCCTGTTTCCATCTCCCGCCACACTCCCGTTTTGTTATATTTCCCGGAAAACTACCGTAAGTTCAACCCCCCCCCCCCCCCCCCCCCCACCCAGTCCTCAGCATTTTGGTACAGTCTGTGAAACCCCCGGGTGGCCAACATTGTTATAGGATCCGATCGCAGCGGCGGCCCAAAACAAGCTTCATAGTAGTTACTAACACCACAGTACACAGTACACATTACCCGGTTCTCAGGGCTTAATTTGTGGCACCTTGTGGCACTTTCAGAGGCACCTCTGAAATCTGATCCTGCACCTCATTTTACAGATCCCCCTCATCAACCGCCTCCTCCCTCATCCGCTGTTCACTTTGTTCCGCAACTCCCCAACCCTCTTCACTTTCATCAGTGACATCTGTCCATCCTCGGGTACTATCCCGGATCCGTTACCCAGATCTGTTCCGAGACCTCGCAATTCACAAATTAAGCCGGTTCTCAACAGTGTTATTTAGACACCTCACCCCCGAACCCAACCCCCCCTGTCGCCCAGATTTTCAGGGACAAATGTTGGCAGGTATGTGTGTGAGCCCAATGCAGGAGTGCATTAAAGCAGTGCAGTTAAACACCAGCATATTGCACCATTCTTAACCATGACACATTTTCAGTATTAATGCACACAGCAGCAATAGCTGAACCATTCTGAACCTTGACCACCGCACGTGTGTAGGAACAGCTGATGGTAGCCAAAGCAATAACAAGCAGCAGTGGAACATGAGCTCACAAAAGCATTTAAATCTGTAAACAAAGCGGCACACGTCGTGTTTTCACTGGGGCATTAGACGGGATATGAGAATATAAAGAGTTAACCAGATGCAGTACAAGTAACAAAACACAATTAAATACAGAATTTGCAAGCTAGAGAAACAAAGAGGCAGCCATTTTAATCGCACTTACTTACACTTGTTAAATGGAGGAAGAAACTGATCCATGAACTGTGTACTGATAAAGTTCCTGTCGAGCTCTGACAAAGTCCCATACATCAAGTCTTTTCTGATCCTTCCTTTAACAAACAGCTGACGAATCCTCCGTTTTAAGCATGTCGATTCCAGAAGTACTCGTCAGAAAAGGAACCAGCGGTGCTATAACTTTAATCATAAGGTAAACACAAAACAAATCATTCCATCCGGAGCTCCTTCACGGGACTCGACACTTGTAAACACTCTGGTCCAACGGGTTCGCATGGCTCTCAGTCCTGCCTACACTCGTCAGCGCTACCAAGCAGACCAATCACAGTGCTTGCAGTATGCAGTTACATTTTTGAGAGTGCGTGTCAGCGTCGAGGGCTGCGGCAGAGCGTGCACTTGACTCAAAAGTATGAATCAGCCTTAACACTTCATTTTAAGCTGTAGAATCTACATGTGCACTGACATTATTCATTACCATAGGGCAGAGGTGGGACCAAGTCATTGTTTGGCAAGTCACAAGTAAGTCTCAATTCATTGCCCTCAAGTCCCGAGTCAAGTCCCGAGTCAAGACAGGCAAGTCCCGAGTCAAGTCCCGAGTCAAAGGCAACAAGTCTCAAGTCAAGTCCAAAGTCCTGCAGTTTGATTTTCGAGTCTTTTCGAGTCTTTTTAACAGAAAAATAAAATATATACAGATTAGGTATGGTTGTAAGATCTGTATTAATTAAACAAACCTTTTTTTATTAAAGAACATTGCTTAGATATATAAAAATACAAATGCAATTTTCTGAAAAAGTACTGAACAGTGCTGCGTCTCGTCTTCACAGCATAATGCACAAGAACGAGTTCCACCAAAAAAAGACTCCATTTTGCCTCACATCACACAGAAATTGCAGGTCTACTGCTGTCTAATTCATTAGGTTTAGTTGTGCTATGTTATGTCTTCGGTGATCAACTTGTGATTAACCAAAATTACATAACCTCAATGTGGTAGCAGTAGACCAACAACTCCTGTATATGCTGCAAAGTTAAATTGAGTGAAATTGGAATTTTGTCAATTGAATCTCGTGTGTGCTAAAGAGATGGAGTTGCAAATCTGTCTAGCAGCAATGTAAAATGGTAGCACATATTGTTAATGAAGTAGGCTACTTCATACAAACAATAAAGTTGTTTTCTTCACATAACGTTGAAGAGCTTTGCTCTCTACCTTGTGTGATGCTCGTGCACGGATTTCCTCTGTTTGTGGACAAAACTGATTGCGAGTTCTCAAATTTTCTCTCGCTCTCAAATATGCACTGCTCACACACAAATTTTCTTGAGCGCTCTCAGAGATTATATGCAAACTCACAATTTGTGTCGTGTTCCCTCTTCCTTTCATGCTTTTTGATATGATTCATATTGCTGCACTGTTTAATAACAATAACCAAAATACTAAAATAGACTTATATATTAAATGTTTAATCTAATAAACCATAACATTTTTGGTTGTTTTATATGATGAGATATTTTCAGTTTCAAACACTTAAAGACAGAGAATAGACCAGTGGTGCCCCCCTGAAAATATGCTTAAGGGGGGCCAGAAGAGGCCAGCTATGTCAGTGGCACCAATCAATCCACAATAATTTAGTGGCTGCTATTTATTTATTGAAATATTGCATTGTATTGCATTTATGTAAGTAGATTTAAATAAATAATGTCAACAGCAAAATCATATCGGGTTGGCCACAGGGGTGGCTAGAGTTTACACAGGGGTAACACCCCTTGTAAAGGGGTTTACACCATAAGGCACCTCTGGAATAGATGTTGGATGTAAAGAATGCATTTTATTTTAAAAGCATTTAAACAAAAACTAATGCAAGCAGAAATGTAACTGTGATAAAAATAAGGAAACACTTGATAAGGTATTATAGCCTACTGTACTATTCACTCTTCAAATAAATCTCACTATCAATCTCATTTTATCATGGCAGCTAAAATAAAGTAAACTAGTGTTTGCTGGCTTCCACTTTACTGATGAGATTGTGGAGGACATTTTCCATGTCATCCTCTTCATTTTGAGGAAAGCTGTTCCACAGGGCCCCTGAACACGTATATTGGCATGTACTGTGTTTTGAACAGTAGCCTACTACAGTAAAGAACGTCAATTGATCAGTTGTGGTAATACTATAGTTGCTATGGTAACACAAGTGTAATATAAACAAATTACCCAGTGCTGTATTATTTTACAATATAGGGTATTTTATACTACAAATCACTACACTTTACTGTAGTAAAACTACACTTTGTATTATTTTATCTGTTCACTATTGGTAATACTACTGTATTATGAAGCATTAATTAACAAGTCGTAAATAATACTAGCCTAAAACATAAGTATAATACAAGTATACAACAAGTATAATACTCAAAAACACTAGAATTTATTAAAGAATTTACCTTAACCTTTTAGTTTTTTGTGTATTGTTAATAAATAGTAAAGCAAGAAAGAAACCATATCAACATTCTTGGAATAACCCTTCGCTAAGCCTCGCCCTCCTTAGTTACTGTTGCTACGCCTGTCAAGCTTTCATGCCTGGCACATCTATTACAGTGTGTATGCGCTGGTGTCAGACATTCCCAAGGATTTAATTAGTCATTTTTGGCAAACAGGTGAGATATCTGAGAAAGCCAGACAAAAGAGGACTGCAGTATCCATTACAGGGGTATATTCACAACATAATAGCAACTGATTAAAAAATAATTTTATCAAAATTGAAGCAAGGTTAGCCTATAGCCACCTCATACGCTGAACATTCAACAGCATAGTTCATGCACAGCAGGAGAGGTGAAATTATAAAATAATCTAATAACCTAAGAAACTGATGGATTTGTGCCGAATATTAGCATCGTTGACCCCTAACAGTGTACAGTACCTATTACTGTCAGCATGTTTGTGTGCTCTTTATCCAGTTTTTATTCAAATTTGCAGTTAAGTGGAAGAAAAAAATTGAAATGCACATTAAAGTATAAATAACAGAAGTGAACAAATAGATTTTTCCTACCAGCAAATATTAGTGTATGTATTTATATGCGTTACAATAGCAAGGGTTTAAACTAAGCAGTGCTCACAGGGTTCAACGCTAAGGATTTTTTCTACTGGCCCGATCGGGCCAGTGGTTCTGATTTTTACTTGCCCAGCCCAAATTTTCACTGGCCCCACCAAAAAAAAAAAAAGAAGTTAATCGCTATTTGAATGTGCGTGTGTGTACACACACACACAGTTGATTTCAGAATTATTAGTCCCCCTAAATTATTAGCACCCCTGTTTATTTTTTTCCCCAATTTCTATTTAACAGAGAACAGATTTTCTCAGCACATTTCTAAACATAATAGTTTTAATAACTCATCTCTAATAACTGATTTATTTTCTCTTTGTCATGATGACTGTAAATAATATTTTACTAGATATTCTTCAAGACACTTCTATACAGCTTAAAGTGACATTTAAAGGCTTAACTAGGGTAATTAGGTTAACTAGGCAGGTTAGGGTAATTAGGCTAGTTATTGTATAATGATGGTTTGTTCTGTAGACAGTCTGAAAAACAATTAGCTTAAGAGGCTAATAAATTTTACCTTAAAATGGTTAAAAAAATGTTTTTATTCTAGCCAAAATAAAACAAATAAGATTTTGTTCAGAGGAAAAAATATTATCAGACAAAATATCAACATTTCTTTGCTTTGTTAAACATCATTTAGGAAATATTTTAAAAAGAAAAAACAAAAAACAAAAGGGGGCTAATAAATCTGTATATATATTTACGGTAATTTTTAAAATGTTTAAGGAAAACTATTCAGTTCATCAAGGCTATATTTATAAATGTAAAAAAGGTGTAACTGTTAAATATTTATTAAAATTTTAAATAACTGCTTTGTTATTGTATTTAGTTTCAAATAAAATAATTACTCCAGACATTATTGATTTTATAACTATTACCATTAATAAATATAATAATAATTAATATTAGTGATTTCTGAAGGATCATGTGACTGGAGTAATGAAGCTGAAATCTCATCTTTAAAATCACTGGAAAAAA